GACGATCATCTCCTTAGTCTTGTCAACGTTCAGGATCAGGCTGTTCTCTCTGCACCAGTCTACCAGCTGCTCCACCTCCTCTCTGTAGTCCAGGTCGTTGTCGTCTGTGATGAGGTCCACCACCGTTGTGTCGTCCGCGAACTTCACYATGTGGTTGGTGGCGAACCTGGGGGCGCAGTCGTGTGTCATCAGAGTGAACAGCAGAGGGCTCAGGATGCAGCCCTGAGGGGAGCCTGTGCTGAGGGTGATGACATCGGAGGTGTATTGTCCGATCCGGACTGACTGAGATCTGTRGGTGAGGAAGTCTAGCAGCCAATTTCGCAGGGGGGTGCTGAAGCCCAGGTGTCCCAGTTTTTCTGCCAGATGCTGTGGAACGATTGTGTTGAACGCTGAGCTGAAGTCCAGGAACAACATCCGCACATGAGTATTCTTCTTTTCCAGGTGAGCCAGGCTCAGGTATAGGGTGGAGGAGATAGCATCCTCAGTAGAGCGGTTTCGGCGGTAGGCAAACTGGGACGGGTCGAATGTAGGGGGGAGTCTGGAGATGATATGTTCTTTTACCAGCCTTTCAAAGCACTTCATCATAATGGGAGTCAGTGCCACAGGCCGGTAATCATTGAAAGAGGTGACTTGAGGTTTCTTTGGCACCGGAATGATGGAGGCAGTTTTGAGACAGGCTGGCACTGTGGCTTGGTATAGTGAKMTGWTAAAAATGTCTGTTAGGACACCAGCCAGCTGACCTGCGCATTCCCTGAACACCCGCCCAGGTATGTTGTCAGGGCCTGGGGCCTTCCGTGGGTTGACTCCTTTCAGAGTCTTCAACACATCGGCCGTGTCCAGGCAGAGTGMATCCTCTTCCTGGTGGGGAACAGTTTTCTTTGCCAGAGTACTGTTCAGTGCCTCGAATCTCCCAAAGAAGTTATTGAGTCCATTTAGAAAGTCATTTATGGTTTGATTTCTTTGTATGTATGGATCACTTGGTTTGTTACCAACATCTGGTGAAAATTTCATTTCATTAGAACCTTTAGTAATATATTTACTGAGAAAAGTGTTGACCTGTTCAATACTTATTTTACCTGCTGTAAATTGATGGGAAAGTTGCCTTATTTAACCAACTAAAGGAGAAGTATGACTTGTCTCAATCAGATTTTTTTTCAGATACCTACAGGTTAGGCATTATGTTTAGTGAAGAACTAGAAATTTTCAAAATCTTCCTTTAGAACATGAGATTTATAACGTCTTTAAAAGTCCCCCTGATTCTAAACATTTACCCTATTTTTCGGACTGTAAGCCACGACTTTTTTCCTGAACTTTGAACCATGCGGCTTATAGTCTGGTGCGGCTTATACGTGGATTTTTTTCTGCTTTTTAATGTGCCTTTCTATTCTATATTGATCCAAGTATAGTACTACCCCCCAACTTTGTGGATGATTTWYTGGATTAAACTTTACATATTATACTTGAATAAATATGGTAARTACAGATAGTCAGACAAAACCAATTTTATGATAAAATCGCTTTCCATACCAGTAAAGAAACCAACACATCTCTCTCCCCAACAACACTTTCCAGCTCGTCCTGGGGAACCCCAAAGCGTTCCCAGGCCAGAGAGGATACATAATCCCTCCAACGAGTCCTGGGTCTTCCCCAGGCCCTCCTACCAGTGGGACCTGCCCAAAAAACCTCTAAAGGGAGGCYTCCAGGAGGCTTCATCACATCAGATGTTCAAACCACCTCAACTGACTCTGTTTGATYCACAAGGGCAGCCGCTCTWCTCTGAGATTCRCTGGGATGACAGAGCTGATTACCRTGTTTCWAAGGCTGAGCACGGCCACCCTATGAAGGAAGCTCATTTCGGCTGCTTGTATCCAGGATCTCATCTTTCCATCCTGATCCACGTCTCAGGACCACAGGGAGGGTTGYAACATAGACACACCAGTAAATCGAGAGCTTTGCCTTTCAACTCAGCTCTTTGTTCACCACGACTGACCAAAGCAACACCCTCATTACTGAGAACAAGGCCCCAAT